GACCTGGGTCAAGCTCCCAGAAAAGTCTTTGGTAACTTGCAGGAACACCCTCTTCAACTCCTGTAGAGAAGAGGCAGGGAGTTCGAAGAGCGGGGAGAAGAATGTAAAATGACCAATGAACATAAGTGAAGAAACGCGATTTCGGTGAGGGGCAGGCCCATTGATGGTTTTCTCCAGGAATTTGTGTAAGCGGTCCTCGAGTGAATCATAAGTTTTATTAAACCGAGATGATTCACATCCAGGCCAATATACCTGATGTTCTGAGGTAATATCAGATACACATCGAGCGGAAGTCTTTTATTTCTCATGAGCCATTGCTCAACCAATTCGAGATCTCCATCGAGAGCATTTATATGCTTCGAGATTGACAGACACAGCGTCGACCAAAATCTGGGGGTAGTATGAGCGACGCGTTGCCGCACAACACAAACTCGTGAGAAGAGTCTTTCCGATATTGCGTAGGGCATACTATGGTATTTCTTGAAATTCTCCGGATGATATAAAACATCGTCGAAAATGTGGGCGAGTACCTCGTTCGGAACACGACGAACAGGGAAAAGAATGTTCTTAACTGAAGCGAGTAAAGCAAGTTGGATGTCCTTCCGTGAATCGAGGCTTGCAATTTCTTGATTAATCATGGCAAACTTGATTGTGAAGTACGGCTTTTTTGACAGGTGAAAGCCATATCAGACCTTCGATACGAGATACTGAAACATCGTCTGATGAATCAATGGAACTAGCGTGTTGACTCTTGGGAAAGGATAGCCAAAGGATGCCTGGCTTAAGTGCCGAACAGGAACAAGGTAGTGATATCCCGAGCTTGTAATCAAACAACAAAAGCCTTGTATTTTAGAAACCTCAATTTTGATTCGCCACAAGTTAACATCTTCCGGAGCAAATCAAGGCCCTCACCGCCTGATAGAGCTCTACCAGTTGTGATCGTATACCCGAGGGGTCTTAGAGGCATGATCTTTCGTGGATGATACTTGCGAAAAGTGTACATTCCATTTCAAATCAGACGAACACATATAATATCGAGTCGGAATAAGGGGAGTTTTATTTATGGACAATGACGTATGATCATGAAGAAGTCGTACAAGGAAGAGTCAATGAATATCAAGGGTAAAGTTGTATGTACAAATATATACAAATGAGCTGACATTGGTGGTGGGTTGGTTTGTATGAACTGGATATGGGTATGAATTTTGAAACGTTGCAGTAGATGATAGCAGGGTCCAGCTAAAAAGTTGCAGGGACATGGGGCGTCAGGGTCATGGATAGGATAGGATAGTTAAATAGATTTTTGAAAATATGAACAAACAGGAGGAAAGCAAAGCAGGACTTGACAATTGAAAAAGGTCAATATAAGGTCAAAGAAAGAAAGAAGCACAGAACGAAGACCCCCCAAATTAGAAACAATAAACAGATATGCAAGAATAACAGGATGTGAAATTAGGCCTCTGAGTAGAATGGTATCCTGTTCCAATATAGATAAGTTTTTCGAGTGCAACGCGCGCGTAGTATTTTGATTCGTTAGTATCCACTTGAGGATGAAGGGTCCGTTAATGTGAGCCCATACCGGGTTGCACAGTTGGTCGTGTCGGTCGTGTTGATCGAGGAGGCCTATCGCCCCCTTTACCTCCAGTTCCTGCGAATTCGCCATGTCCAAATCCCCTTGGACCTCCTGAATTAATTCGGCTGGTTTTTCTAATAGCGCTTTTACCTAAACCCCTAGCACCTTCCCTTAAGTTCCTGGTGCTCTTCCTTGTCATGCTCTTCCGACGTAGATACACCTCCTTGGCACTCAAATATACGTCCCTGCCTCGATGAGCTTCCTCGGTAAGTCTCGATGCGATGGCATGCAAATGGCGGAGTTTTAGACGTTCAAAAGTGTCCTGGTGAGCAGGTGAGCAAAGCGGAGAGGAATATAAGATTGGGGATGCGACGAAGGAGACTCACGTCCAATTTATCAGCAACATTTGTCAGTTTGTCGTTATGTTCCTCTAATTTCCTCAGTAAGGTATCCAACATGCTTGTATTAGTAGACTCTACTGGACGTTTTGCCACATCTGACAATCTTCGAAGACACCTACATAAGCAGCGATGATCAGCGTTAGTCGGACGGTCGGAAAATATATTATATGAAGGGGTTGAAAGGAAGGGAGGAACGTTGAACACACCTTTGTAAGCTCCCTAACCGTTTCACGTATCTCTTTCTTCTCTCCATGAATAACCCCCATTCTTCTTCCGTCAACGTCCGTCTCGTGATCAGAGTCTTCTCCACACGGGATAGCGAGTGTTCAATATGTGTACACATCTCCAGGTGTGGGACGACAGTCCGAATGGGGTAGAAAGAGGAGAGGGTCTGCAAGAAGAATGATTAGCGAAGAGCAATGAGGAGAAGAAAGAGTAATGGAGAATGAACAGTATAATGATTGAAATACGTCTCACTACTCACTCCTCGAACACCTCTAACCATCTCAACTATCTCCTTGATAGAAGTCGAAATCCTCTGCTCCGTTTCCTGTATTCGCTCATCGGTCCTGTTTTCCTTCTCTTTCTCACTTCCATTTCTCGCGTCTCCAGGTTGAGCGTCATTTTTGCCGCTCGTTCTTCCGTTTCGTTTTGGATTTCGGGGAGGTGTGGATTCGTGTAGGGGAAGTATGATGATTGGATCGCTGAGGTCGCCGACGTGAGGAAAAGGCGCGGGTGTGGGAAGTGTAGGGTTCATAGGTTCCTCCTCAGTACCCATGACTGGATGCGGAAGCGGTATCTGAGATGTCGGTGATGGTGGTAATGGCAGCTCCTTCTCACTCCGATCAGCCTGCTGTGCCGGCGAAATGCTATCAAGAGAGTGTCCTAACGATTCGAACGTAGGATACGGAGAATGCTCGAATGGTTCGGGGGTGGAGGTGATCTTTTCTTCAGAAATGCGTTCGGTGTGAGGAGTGAAGGGAGCAAATCCTCGTAAGCCGGGAAGACTGGATAGGGAGTCAGCCAATGGATCAAATGGAGGGAAGCCAACTGGTAGTGGTTCGTATCGCATATCGACGTCAGTGTCGTGGGAAGCAGAAGGACCAAAGAACGTGTTTTGTTCGGGACCTGTAGGACCCTGACCACCTGTATGGTATAAACTCGTGAACCCTCTCAAGGGCATATGCGCCAGACTAGAGACACTCTGGGAAAGGGGAGATGCGGCAAACTGACGTGAAGTCGCCAAGGGTTTGTGTTTGGTGAAAAATGGGTGATGGAACGGGTGATTGTTACTACCAGAATCGGACTGCGAAAGCGGGAGATCTCGTGTTGTATTGAGCAGTGGTCTGGGAGGTGGAGTGGTGGATGCGGGTAAGGATAACGCATCTAGGAACCGCGACGACAGGCCTGCGATAACAGAAGGACCAGCTGGGTTACTCCCACTTGGAATTCCAACGTCGCGTTCTACGTCTTCCTCGATCTCTTCGATATGACCTCTCGACACGTATTGCTGTTTCCCGCCCGCATCAGCTATCCAACCCCCGACGTAATCAAAATCTTCGATAACTTTTGCCCGAGGTACTCCGGGCGCTCTGTCAGCCCTGGATGTAACAGGTGGTGTTTCGCCTGGAACCGAAGTATCGTAATCGTGCTCAGCAGGGTGTACCTGCATTGGAGGCACCAGATCTGTAAGCTTCGGCGGAAGTGTCGTGGCAATGGGCGTCTCTCCGTCTCCGGAGAACAACCCTAAAAAGTTAGTGTGATATGTAACGATTGGGTCACCGGTGGAAAGAGTGGGAGGTCGAGGAGGTCGGGTAGGAGGATGAGGCGCGCTTCGAGGCTCGTTCTTGAAAATATCTGATTGGACTTCAGAAGGGAATAACGCAGGCATGACTGTCGCTGCTGCAGGCAGTGTCGAAGGGTGAGAAACAAAAGGAAGAGCTGCAGAGGCATTTGTCGTTGGTGATTCAGTACGAATCTGGGTACGGTTCTGGCGCGAACCACGGAGAGTTTTGGGTACAAGGCGGCGCATGAGGTGAGACGATGAATTGTGTGAAGAGGACATCGTGAATCTGTATTCGGTGTTGTTTTCGTGACGTAGCGTGTAATAGAGAGTAAATAACTTGTGTACTGGAGGACAATTCAATATGTTGAACTTCACGAGTGTGCAAAGAGGACATACCGGAGTGTCAGAAACCAACGAAATTGCTTAACTCGACGCAAGAAGACACAGACGTGTTTATGTCCTTGGCTTTTTTATGTAGTCGAGTATTGCACTCGAAAACAAAGGAATTGTTTGTTCCGTCTCGTTTGAATTGCTAGGCCTAACCGAGCATCCCCCTATCGTTATCGTTTCTCGCTTCGACTTTTTTTCTCTTTTCTTATATTCTTTTTCGTTCCTTTTGTGTGCACAGCGCTCGAGTTTGGGTATAATATCAAGACTGGAAGGTCAGAAAGGCTAGCGATGAATTTGTAGGGAGTGTAGAGGTATAATGGAACGGATTAAAACCAAGTTGAGGCTGCGTGTAGACGGCCGAGAGAGGAACAAAGCAAAGGAGGGTTGTTTAAAAGACGCTTGGTGACAGTCGTGGACAAGGGTAAACTGTACCATCTCCACCCACACTAAGTAAGCGCCTGTCGTCGATGTCCCTGGTAGCCGATTCAAATCAGGTTTCCGTTGATTTCTGGCTTGTTGGTAAGCGATGGACTCGGAGTCTCGGAACGCTAGAGACTATAGAGAAGCTTGCACGTACCTTTATAGATGTTGTTGTTTGTAGATTCAAGCAGGAGTCAAAGGAGAGTTATCGAAGTTGGGGGGAACGAGGAAAAATAAAAAAAGAAAAACCAAAAATCTACGGATCAAGAGGAATACAGTTATTTACTTCTCAATGAGACAATGTCTATCTCGATATGGAAAGGTGCAACTACAGGGTTTCTAAATCCTCAAAAATACTTGGTTGTAACCCGTGGCACCGTGTTTACTGAGGTAGAGCTTGCCAGCAAAAAATGAATTCGAGCACTTTAGATGACCACCGCAGGGGTCGAACCTGCAATCTCCTGATAACTGTCACCATTTCGAAGTGTCGTAGTCAGACGCGATGCCATTTCGCCAGGCGGCCATAAAATTTCAACCATTTCTCACATCTATTACTTAGCTGTCGCAATTCATGAGAATTTGCACCCTACAGAACTCCCAACTTATCCGGTGTCGAGTCTGGTCTACGAAATTCCTGGCACCTGTCAATCAATCCTGATTTAATTATAGTGAGTACGATATTGCTACCCAACAGGTGTGTTGGTCTTCTGTTAGACTCGCGCTACATAGTGGCTTGGGATGTGACTGTTGAGCAGGACAGGGGTTACACAGTGGTGACACTCTGTGGTACCAACCTGGATAGTAGAGCTTGTAGTCTCAGAGAGGCAACAAAAGTGAGA